ACTAAGAATCCATAGCCATCAGTCGAACATGAGTGCACATAGTATATGTGTATTAGAGTAACTACTGTACCTCAAAATTATTATAGTTTAACTTTTGCTTTACAAAATGAAGGAAAACATTTTCGAGAGACTATGACATTACTTAAAGGATGGTACAGGATCCACTTTGGCATAAAGAATTACAGTGCTCCCTGTTGGTTACCCATATGGGTTCCTCTTATTGGAGTGATGTTCTGATGCCCTGGGCTCTTCGGGTGTTGGCTGTTGACTGACAGAGCAAAGCCTGCCCCCTTCTCTAAGTATTGCCCATGGCTGACAGGATTTGATTCCCATGAAAGGTCACTCTCCACCCCTACTCCACCCTATGAGCAGATGAAGCCTGGTCCCCTCCTCTCAAGGTGGGACATCTGTGTGGTGTTGTGTTGCACAGTTCCTGTGGGTGAGATCAGGAGACCGCATCTCTGCTGGAATTCTTCCCCTCATCCATCCTGACACACTCGCTTCCCTATGGATGTTTACTCATGGTACATTGAGTACATCTGGACACCTGAATTCCTGACTTAGTCTCTGTTTGTACAACTGACAAGACCATTAGGTTTAGTAAGGTGCAAGGAACGAAGAGTGAGTTCTTCCCATGTTGTCAACATACCCCTATTTTGGTGATTTCAGACTCTGAATTTAAAACTTCTCCATTAGGTATAAGGCATGCTGAAGGCCCTGCAGTGTGGAAGGGAGTGGAGGGGAGGTGGGCTTCATCATTTCTTCCTCCCACGGTCCTGCTCCAGGCTCCCCATGGAGTGGGATGGAGCTAGATAAAGAACAGCAAAGCTGCTCCTTCGTGGGTTCATCTGTGGTCGACTCTGCTGTCCCCAGGTGGGAAGAATATCCAAATGCTGACTCTTCTTCCCTGTGCCTTTTAAACTCCCTAGAGACACTGTCTTACTTTTTACTTCTGTTGTTTTGATAAAATGTCCCCCCAAAAAGTAACCGAATAAAGAAAATAAAATAAAGATTAATTCGGCACACAATTCCAGGTTAGGTCCATCATTGTGGAGAAGTCAGGCGAGCAGGAACTAGTCATCATCCACCCATAATCAAGAACAGAGAGCAATGAAGTCGTGCATGAATGTGTGTGCTCAGCTTCCTTTCCCTCTTCACTCATCCCAGAGCCCAGCCCATTACGTGGGGCTGCCCATATTCAGGGTGGGTATTCCCACCTCAGTTAACCCATTAAGAAAATCCTTCACGGGCATGGCCACTGGTCTTCCTAATCTAGACAATTCATTGAGACGCCTTTTCCAAGTGATTCTACATTGTGTCAAGTTGACAAAACTAACCACCACAGACATGTAGATGCACATGCATCACACCAGGAGTTAAGGGTGGAAGAGAGTGTGTTCAACTGCAATTTATGTGATGATGCTCTTTTCCATAACCACTACCCCACTCTCAGCTCCTACATGTAGTGGTACCCCGTTCCTTTCTGCCCAGGTCTCCTCATCCTAGGACGGATACCGTCACTCGGGTGGGAAGCATTCCTTCTGAGAGTTCTATGTCTCTTCCCTCCGACTCTACATAGCGACTTCCTTCCCTGTATTCCCCTTCTGTTTCTCTGCTCTGGTCTCTTTGGCTACAGCTCTCTCCCATAGGTTTTCCCAAATGTGCGTGAAGTGTCTTTCCTCATAGGGCACAGGCTAAGCTTTTGGGTGCATCACTGGACCATAATTCTTACATGATTTACTGTGACACAGATGAATCTCTTCCCAAGAAAACAGGAGCACTACAGTCCTGCAACAGTTCTTTCTGGAATCCTTGCTGTCCATCACTTGATTTTCAGCCTCCCTGAGTCTAACAGAATCCAGCTCTCCCCGCCTCCTTTGCAACACAGGTGGTCTACATCAAAGACTGGCTAGTGTCATAACTCCTTTTGGAATACGGGGCACTTGACTCGGTTTTTGGCTTACAGGCTGAGCAGACATCCTATTCTGTATAATGATAATAACAGCTCAGTTTATATCATGCTGACTGAGGCTTCAGACCCTCTTCCAAATCTCTCCTGCATCAAGTCGCCTCAACCCCAGAACACTCTCTATACCTAGCTGCAGCTCTTATCTGCATTTTACAGATGTGGAAAACAAGGCACAGAGGAGTCAGTACTTCCCAGGGAATAGAACCCAAGTTCTCAGGTGGAGTCCAGACAGTGGGCCCTGGCTCACCTTCCCTACGTGACCTCTGAGTTAGTTGCTCCCCCCGAGGGTGACCTTCCTGTGAGGTACCCACTGAAATAGCCAACCACCCACTGGAATTCTCCTTGAAACAGCTTGCTCCTTTTCCACCTGGAATATCTTTAAACAAAACTGCCCGTCAGCAGTTGGCACATGGAAAGTCACTACCAGTTTTCTGTAAGTTTAGAAAGTATTTTGGGCTGTCTTGTGGAAAGTCTCTTTTTCCAGATCAGCAGCTTCTCTGGGTGATGAATGTCCCTAAACCCATATGCTCACTGGGGTGAGAACCCAGACCCCTGACTACACAGAATGGGGCCCTCTGTTTCTGCAGTTCAGGGATGGAGAGAAAAGCTGTGCCCTTGGCCAAGGCAGCTGAGGGCCTTCCCACATCACAGGGAGAAAACGGTTGGATTTCTCTCTTACATTACCTTTCATCTACACTCTCCTGACCTTGAGAACTTTGTGGCATTATTACAGTGTGAGCCAACTTACACATGGCAGAAGTCATCTAGACTTTGAGACAAGAAGGCAGACTTAGCAGACAGGTAGAGCAACTTCACCTCAAATTCTGCTTCAAATAACCAAAAGGCTAGAAAGATATGTACATGATATAAAAACATACATATTGGGTTTGGGGTGGTTAGGTTGTTACTATGCAGCCCAGGCTGGCCTCAGATTTGTATTGATCTTCTGCTTCAACCTTTCACATTGCTGGAATTACAGGTATGGGGCCCTGTACCTAGCTAAAACACTTGTTATTGTATATACTAGCAAAGCTACATGTAGTCATATGTAATGTAGTAAATGCGCATTGGGCAGCAAGAAACAAATATGGCCAGCATAGTTAGAAATGAAGCCAGAATTGTTGCTTCCCTGCAGTGGAAAAAACCTCACTGAGTCTCTGAGCGTATGTGGGAGTTCTGTGGGTCTACTCAAGTGGGAACTGAAGGACTTGGTTACAGGTAAAACTAGGATTTACACCAATAAATTGTATGATTCTGAGTTCAGCTCTCTGGCTGTCCCATGAAACAATGTGAATTTTTTCTGTCCTTGCCTGTGACATAGGGAACCTGATTTCAAATCAGTCTAGAACTGATTGTCTTATTTTGCAAGTAGGCCTAGAGCAGTCAATAGATGCCCGGAGGCCTGAAACTTAGCATGTTGATCTTGAACACTCGTCAACAGGGAGGGAAAACTCACAGGACAAAGAAAGAGAAACAAAGGAGACTGCAGTCGCATAGTAGACAGGAGCTGAAGCTGGGAAGTCGCCTGCCTGTGAGTTCCAGGTCCCTGCTATGGGCTAGGCCTTCATTGCCCAAGCAGGAAGCAGAGGCAGGCAGCCAGAGTGACTCCGTGCAATGCCAAGGTCGGATGAACCCTTCTGCCCTGTGATCTGGAACTGAAAATGGCATCTTGGCGGTGCACTGTCTGTCCCCAGGCTCTGGATAGAACATCACAGGATAAAGGCAGAACCTCAGCCCTGAGCCACACCCCCCAGGAACTACCTGTTGAGCGCTTTGGGACTGGCAGAACCAGCCCCAAATATGCCCCCCTCCAAACAGGATAACCCTCAGGATTCTCAGGGAAGATGAACTCTCTAACATCTAACAAATGGCGGTAAGTGTTGTGCCTAATGATTCTTGGGTGGAGCGCCTCGGATACGTGGTGTGTGTGAGGCTTTGCGGAGCCCATTTATCTGATCTATTAGTCACCACTGTATGCCAGGCACTGTGTTTGCTAGGTTCTTTGCTGTTTGTTGTCTGAAACCTTCCGACAACCCCATTCTACAGCACACCCTTGACCTGGGCAGGGTGGCCTCCCATTTGCAAAAGCAAGACAAAATCATCAGTCTTATCACCTACCTAAAAATCTCTCCAAGATTCATTTCTGGAGGGTCAGAAAGTTTTTCCATCTTGTATACACTTGCAACTCCATACTTAATTACAAACACAGGGCAAGAGAGGACAGTAAGAGCGGCTCTGAAAAGCAGCCCTGAGACCCGGGTTCTAGTCTGGCTTTGTGATCCTGACTGTGTTTCATGCCTATGGTAGTGGTCGGCACACAGGGATGGTCAGTAAGAGACAGTGTCTCATACCGTTGTTGCTATGCATACCTGACCAGGCACTCAACATTCCGTACATCGTGGTCATTACTACCAAGTCCCAGATGCGAATGGGACCCTGCTCCTCTGCATGGTGAAGCCGTGCATGCCCAGCCTGGTGACAGAGAGTGTCCAGTGTGGCTGAAGACAAATGTCAAACATTCAGAAGGTAGAGAGTAGTGCACATGTTTTAGGACAGTTTCTATTTCGTGCCCATGTCAATACTTCATACACTATTGTGCTGTATTGTGGGTGGTGTAAGGGGCCTCTGATTTGTATAAGATTGGTATAAAAGCAAGTGTTGGTTCCAATCATCATGTACACAATGAACTATGATTATCTTACTTCTCAGAATTTATGATGGACTGTGATTCAAAAGATCCAGGCAGAATCACTCAAAAATGACTTCCTTGCTTTGAAAGCCCTCCTTGTGGATGCTGAGCCCATACTTGACTTAGCCGCTAATCCTCATGTTTCTCTCTCTGGGATGGGGAGGAAAATCCGATGCAGTGTTTTCTTTTGTTGACCTCCTCCTCCTGTGCCTCCATCCAAGATCCTGCTCATCCTGTGAGCCAATGGAGGGAGGCATCCTTACAGCTCCTTGTGCTATGGTGCTCAGCGGGCCTCCAGTGTCCCTGGCAACATGGAATTAACCACCATCTCCTAGCAACCTCCTCAAATGCTGTCCTAAAGATACTTCACAGCAAGCAGGGGAGATGCCAAAGACAAAGGTGAGAGATTACAGTTGGAGGAAGAAATGAAACCATGCTTCGGAGGCAGACCAAAGGGAAGAATGGAAGACGGACTTTAAAACCTTCCTTTGAAGACGGCAGTGGGGGTACCCTGTAGCATGAGTGCACTGGGAATCACATTCTTCTATGAAACTTGGCTGTGATGGCCGCAGCGGAGGGAGAGAGCAGCAGGTTGGGCTCTCAGATCTTTCATTTGTCTGGGAGACTTTATGACACATAGGCTCCTTTCGGAGCACTTTGATGGAGTGATGTATACATTATATACACACATGAGCTTTGCCTATCACAAACATTCAGACAACGGTTAATACGTGCACTTAATATGGCAAGAATTACCATCTAGATATTCCTCAGGCTTTTCAGCCTTTGAATCTTTAAGAACTTATTAGCCTTTATTTGACCTCTGACCTTCAACGCCTGGTCAGCTCAGGGAATCACAGGACTCACATCACCTTGTCTATAAAATGCAGCCTCTTGATCTTCTGTCGTCATCTCCACACCCATGGATGGTTAACTAACCTCATCACTATCCAGACTCCTTTTATGGGAAGGCATAGGAGCATTGGTAGCCCAGACTCTCATCTTTGCGTACCTGACCCCTGTCTGTGGTCTGACTCTTCCCTTTCCCAGCCAGGGTCTGTAGGAGTCTTTCTAGAGAGCAGTCACTGTGTGTTCAAATGTCTTCAGTAAGTTTGTTCTTCCTGAGGTTCTTTGCTCCATGTCGTCGCTGTCCAGAATCCTTCACCGGTAACTTCTACCCAACCTGTGAGACACTTGCTTCATGAAATAACCCCAGGCTCTACCTCTCCGGCTAATCCCACAGGCGGCTTCAGAAGTTTCAGCATTCTGCACATCCACACTGTAAGCACTCACTCTTTGAAACCGAATCTGCTACCTGAGCCAGGGTGTAGACTGTCTACCTGAGAGAAGGTGTGGGGCTGGGCTTGGGGTTCAGGGGTAGAGTATTTTCCCAGCATGCATAAGGCCATGGGTTTGGTCCCTAGCACCACAAGAAGAAAAGAAGAGAGGAGAGGAGAACAGAAGAGGTGGGAAGGAGAGGGCAAGGGAGGTAGGGAAAGAGAGAGGCTGGGATTAGGAATGTTCCTGTATCTACTACCTAGCAGAACCATGGACCACACTAGTGACTTAAACACTTCAATTCATTCATATTTTCTCTGGCTCCAGACATAGCATTGATCTAGAGAAGAACACAACCACGACCCAAACATCTAAATCTGTTTGATGAAGACAAACAGAGGTAGGCAGAAATGGAAGCCCCATGCCCCAGACACATGCTAGGGCTTCGGGTTGCCGCTGTATGTGGCCGACACTGAGCTGGAGCAATCCAGCCAATGCTGACACATTGCCTTTGAGACTGAGCCATTTTGACAGGCATCTCTTTCCAAGTGAAAATTGTATACGGCAGATGCTGCATTAAGGTAATTAATTTATACAAATGTAATCGATTTCTCTGTCTGCTTTCTTTCCAGCAAATGGTTCTATACAAAGCAAGCTGAATGCTTTGGCTTGACAAGATGCCTTTTTCTGGGATGGCAAAAGAAATGCTCTAGAGATCTTGCCACAAATCTCTAGATATTACCATACAATGCTGATCAGTTTGCATTGGCTCCCACCTCCACAGGCAACTCAGTTCCCTTGCAAACCTCCCTTTCTCTTGGTCTTATTCCGTCCATCTGCAAAGTGAAGATGGGTTAGGTTATCTCTAAGATATCACTCCAGCCCTTAAATTCCAAAGTTTCAGGATTCTTTGTTCTGTCTTCTACCTGAGCTCTTGAAAAGGCAATGGGTGGCACTGGAAAACTGGCAAAATAAATTAATTTGGGGATTATTCTTTGTACGAAACTAATCCTTTCTTGCTTCATAGGATTTACTTCTATATCAACCCCCCTGGCTTCTTCAAAATAATTTGATCACAGTCCTTGACTTTCATATCCAACCTTTGTTACACAAAGCAACACATATTTTCATGACAAGTCACATGACTGGTGGTACCCAATAAAAAATAAAAATGTCAGACTCTGGTTTGAAAATTAGCAAGAATTTCAGGTAGTGATAGCAGAGCACTAACCAAAACAGAGCCTTGAGTGAGTGACAGGCCCTAGGAAACTGTCAGCCCTGTTCATCTACACTAGTCTCCACATACCTCTGTTAGGTAACTAGTGTGTCCTTTAGAAATAAATATTTATGATTATTTCCCCCAAACACCATGCTCCATGTAAACTTGACAATGAGGGATAAAAAATGCATGGGAGATAAGCACTTATCTAACATTGGACCATGATCTAAGTTCCTATATGTAAATTCAATGGAGAGTTCAGCCTTGGGGGCCATGTGTATCTGGACTCACTGACATGACCATGACTGATCCTCTGGACTGCCTGGTCACACTGTTTTCCCTCAGTAAAACAAGGACCCTTGGTTTTGACATCAGAAATCTGTGACTCTTCGCTTACTTTCTGACCTCAAGGCTCATCTCCCTGGCCATGTATTTTTGACATGTATAGAAAAGTGTTCATGTTATGTGTGCCAAGCTCACTGTGTCCTTATAAACAGCATGCTGGTACCATCAGATCCAGAGTCAAAATTCAGAAGACCCAAATCTCGAAAGCCCATCGCATGTACCTCCAGGCCACAACTCCTAGCTCCTATAGGGTGACCACTAAACAGACTTTTAATGATCTATATTAAACTTGTTCATCTTTGAATCTTAAATAAATTGGATTATGCAATGTGTATGCATCTGACTTCTTGGGCTCCATATTAGGCTTTAAAATTCAGACACATTCCCTCTGGTTCACCGTGTTCTGTTCACTGCTATAGCGCACCTGAGGGGCCTTTCTACAGGTGATAGACATACTAACATGTCTTCCTTGTGGCTGTTTATGGAATTTTGTAATTCACTAAACATCCCCACCATTTCTGATTCTCAAGAATTTTATTATGATTGAAAAATCTATTCGCTCTCTTCAAATTTATGAACAATGAGCTGGAAATGCCCTCATTTAGGGTTTCCACAAACCTTAGACACTCTTCCTTCATACCCAAAGTGAATAATGGGCAGAGGATAATGTTCCCGTTCCTCTTTCAGCTCAACTTCGGGATGACACTTCAGTCACAGATGAGACTTCCCAGGCAATAGAAAAAGCCCATGAGTCATTACGACCAAACCCGAATAATGACAGGACAGATGGCTTCTGGGTTTACAGGGAGAAAAATCCTTCCTTCCAAAGCTCCCAACCTCTGTGATAAGCCTAGAGCTTATGTCAGGGCTGATCTAAGCAACTGTATCCATTCATTCCCCTCCCCACGATTGGCACTTGTCACAAGACCCTGCTCTGGCCAAGATAATAGGAAAGGCATTCATCTGGGAAGCTCTTGAAAAATTTTTCACTCAGGTAATAAAAAAAAAAAAAATCTACCGAAGGAGTCACTGATACCTTTGTAATTAGAACTGTCAATATTACCTTGTAAGAATACGATTCACAAACATACTGCCTGGGACAAGCCTATGAGACTCGCCAAAGCCACTCAACAAACCTATGTAAGGACAGACTGAGGCTCAAGATTGCCTGATTCACAGGCTTTTGTGTTACATCAGTGTTCCAAAGTGCTCCATGCTGCAGCTAAAAAGGGAAAAAAATCCTCACCTTTTCTTTCCTATTTACAACCCAAGAGTCATCTCAAATACCCATGTTTTTCTGAGAACCTTTGAAATACTCGTGGCTATTAAAACCACACCTCCTAGAACCTAAACACATTTTCTACTACTTAGATTATTTAAGGTATGCTGCTCAAGCCATTTGTCTGTCTTTCTAAGATTTCTTGTACTTTTTCATTATGTGTTTGTGGGAGGTTATGTGCATGTGAGTGCAGTTGCCCACAGAGGCCAAAAGAGGGCGTTGGATTTCACAAGAGCTGGATTTACTGATGGTTGTGAGCCATCAGACCTGAATGCTATTGAACTCAGGTCCTCTGGAAGAGCAGCAAGCACTCCTAACTACTGAGCCATCTTTCCAGTCCCGCAGCCAATTTTTAATTCCTCCCAGGAAAGAAATGATTGTTTGTATGGTTTTAAGATAGAGCTACAACCCTTGACCAGTTTTTAGACTTTCATATGTGAAGGTCTAAAGGTCTAAAGATTGGCTTGCTTATTTAGTGCAGTTATTGCCCATTCTGCATGTTTCTTTGTAGTTTAAAAATAACTCTGACTGGAAGATGTATTAGACAGAAGTTAATCTTCTCATTTGTTGTGGCACATAAGAAATAGGGCAAAGGTTTAATTAGTTTTAGGAAATTCCCGTCTTTGAATACAAAACTCTGTCTCTCTCTGTCTCTCTATATCTCTCTGTGTGTATACCCACAAAGACATGCAAACTTACCCAACTTTTTAAAAATAATTTTATTTAGCTGAATGAAAACTATGAAATATTAACAGTGACTATATCTGGGTGGTAGAAATGTGACTCATTTATATTTTATTCCTTCTTGTATGTCTCAGCTTTCTACCATGATGGGGTTGATTTTTATAATCAGAAATCAAAATCAATTCTTTTGAGGTACTCCTGCTTAATTCCTAAAACAAATGTTGAAAACCCACAGAGACTTGCTCAAACCAGTTGCCACAGTTGAAAAATGGCTCCTATGTATGCAAGCCTGTTTCCCATGGTAATTGCCCCTTTCCTTCCCACCTACAACTCAAAATTCATCTTAAATACCAACTTTTTTCTGAAGACCTTAAAATACTTATGTAGAGAGAGCCCATCGGAAAATCCCTGCAGATAGTGCTAGGTTGCAAACCTTTCCTGAATGGATGTCTTATGGGTCAAATATTTCATTTTTAGTAACTCTGGAAATACAATTTCCAAAAATACTTTATGTATAACTATACATATAGGTATATATATATAACTATTTTAAACTAATAATATATTAGTTTTCTGAGATGGACTACTTGGGTTTGATTGGGCAATTTTCCTTAGTTGAGATTTGTAACATCCTTTCTGAGGAGTTTTGTTCCTATCTTTTTTTATATCTAAGCCAGAGTCTTTTCCTCATAGCATGGTATACATGAGGAGGGTGTATCAAGCTTATGAGGGTCAGGACTCTGATCACAGACTCCAGAACCAGAAAAGCCTTTTTTAAAAAAACCGCTTCTCATGTCTTCTTTTCAAAAAGACATCTCCTGATTAAGACCGATGCTCGGCCCAGATGAATGGGAATGAGAATCAGATTCCACCCCTTGTTTGATGAACTAGAGAGAATATCCAGCCAGGTTTAAATTTCTACAGTCACAGGAGGTCATTATGGTCTCTGTGATGTTGATACAACCCTCTGTCGCAGAGAAGGAGAGAGAAAGGACAACGGGGCTGTCTTCTGGATGGTATGTCTTGCTCTGGTGGATGGATGCCTCTGAGTGTTTCAAGTGTCAGACAGCCTTGAATTGAACCAAAGGGCTCTGGAGTGAAGCAGCTCTGGTTCAAATCCCCGTTCTTCCACTGACCCACTGAGTCACTTTAAGCATTCTGTTGGGTCACCCCCTACCTGGGAGGGTCCAACATTCCTTAAGCTCCATAAAAGCACACAGGTGAGAGATAGCAGCCAATTTGTACAGAATTAAAGGAAACTGTAGTGATGCCATGAGCCTAATGTCCTTGAGAGAGGCTGCACACGTCTCTGGGAGGTTAGCCAAAGTTGATGGGCTGGCCTTGCAACTTTATACGTTCATCTCTGTTTTGACATTTCCCCACCTTCTAATTCATTACAACCCAAGTTCCATCAGAAACAGTTGAATAGCCTGCAGGTAAGATGCGCTGTTAGCCATCACCAGTTGATTATACCCATAAGATTCCAGAAAATCCTGAATTTATTGCTATCTCTTCACATTCAATGGATAGGTAAACAAGGTTTTGTAGATCCATTGGGAGAAAGTAAAGGTAAAACATTTATTTTATTTTATTTTATTTACTTATTCTTCTCTCATACAATACATCTCAGCCACAGCCTCCCCTCCCTCTCCTCCTCCCATCCCTCCCCACCTCCCTTCTCCCCCAGATCCACCACTCCTTCATTTCCCTTCAGAAAAGAGCAGGTCTCCCAGTGATATCAACAGAACTTGGCATAATAAAATGTAATAAGAGTAGGACTATCCCTTCATATCAAGGCTGGATGAGGCAACCTAGTAGGAGGAAATAGGTCCCACAATCAGGCAAAAGAATCAAACACACCCCACTCCCATTATTAGGAGTTCAACAGAAACCCCAAGCTAGAGAACCATAGCGTGTATGCAGAGGGCCTGGTGTGGACCCATGCAGGCTCCATGGTTGCAGCTCAGCCTCTGTGAGCCCCTGTGAACCCGGCTTAGTAAGCCACGTTCTTCTGGTGTCCTCGAACCCTCTCACTCCTACAATCCTTCTTCCCCTCCTCTGCAGAGTTCCCTGAGCTCCGCCTAGTGTTAAAGTCAATGAAATGATCCCTAATGATATTCTGCTATGCTCATAGGCTCAAGACAGAGCCCAGTTGTCATCAGAAGGGCTTCCTCCCGCAGCTGATGGGAGCAGACACAAGGCAAAACATTGAAAGAGGAAACATAGATCATAACAAGTTAGCACTCCTTAACATGTGAGGCAGTGCCGCACACTAGGACCGATGTTGTGAGGGATATTTCCATCTCGGTGCAAGAAAACATTGCACACTAGCAAACAGTGAATGGGATCTAAGGCTTTGTGGAGGTTTGAATGAGAAGTGTAACCCACAGGCTCCGTGCTTTGTGCCTAGCTGGTGACTGTTTGAGGACACTTAG